TGTAGATGTCTATGGGCCACAGCAACCACTTACCATCAGGTGGACTGTGTGCTCGTTTGTCACTCTATTTTATAAAAAAAAAAAACAGATGATTTGCAACATAACCAATTACTACAAAAATTAGACATTGCATAACATGTAAGGAACTCTATACACGATTATAAACAAGAGATAACAACAAATCTAAAACACAATTTTCTAGTATAACCATGAAGATGAAAAAATATTTTCTAATTTCAATACTAATACTAATACCTAATACATATCACGTAAATAAACTTGAATATATTTTAAATAAAATAAATAAAAATAAAAGGTCTGATGGAGTTTTCCTATGGATAATGTCATCATCATCATTACAGCCCTTCATAAGTCCACTGTTGAACATAGACCTCCCCCAAGGAATGCCACAAAGCACGGTCCTGAGCCATCTGCATCCATCGACTTCCTGCATGTCTTACCAGGTCGTCACTGCATCTAGTGGGGGGTCGCCCTACACTTCGCCTACCGGTACGCGGCTACCACTCGAGAACCTTTCTTCCCCATCGGTTGGCGTTTCTTCGAGCTATATGGCCGGCCCATTGCCACTTCAGCTTACGTTGGGCTATGTCGGTCACTCTGGTTCCACTGCGGATATCCTCATTTCTGAGTTTATCACGCAGAGAAACTCCGAGCGTAGCCCTCTCCATAGCTCGCTGAGCGACCTTGAGCTTCCTCATCCGGCCAGCAGTGAAGGACCACGTCTCAGTACATGTCTGACTCTTAAGAACGATAGAAGAAGGTGGTTCACTGTAGAGATAAAAGCCGATAACGCATTTATCTTTGAAATAAGTAAGAAAAGTTGGATTATTTAATGTAGAAAAAAGGGTTAAAATTCTGGAGCAACGCTTCTGACGAATAGATAGGCATTTAAGCTTGAAACGAAGAGCAATAATATGGTATTTTTGTTAATCTATACAAATAAATAAAATTGTCTGTTTTTAATGTCTGAATAAAATCTTTGTAAAAAAAAAACAAAGCCTTTTAATTATAGAAACCCAGCATTAGTAATGCAGTCCCCCCCCCCCCCCCCGATCCTTTTCTTCATAGTCAACGCTTGGTAAATCAGCACTTAAAATTACAAATACCTCTCAATGGTGCCGGCGTGAATCGAACTTGGTAACCTCGTGATTTATTATGCAATTTAGCGAGCGCGTATCCTCTGAACTACTACGGTTCATTTTTTATTATTTGTTAGGGCTTAGAAATTTAAATATTTTATATAATCTTAAAAGAATGTTATGAGCATATAATCAGTCTATTATCTTTTAATCATGCACGCCATAATTCCCAAAATTGTTATCAACTATCAGATCTTCATAATATTTGTTATCACTTGGCCAATAAAATATTGCGTAAAAACCCAAGGCAATATCTTAATTAGTAAAATATGAAGAGAATTATTAAGTAAAAATATTAAGAAAATCTACGTTTCTAAAAAAAAAGATAAAATATTTTTTTTTACAGAAGAACTAGATGTCCGTGGTTTCGCCCTCTTGGAATTCGGTTTGTGACAAAAATACGTTTGTCAGCGACTTCGCTCCGGCTTCGCACGAGTGATTTTCTAGATCTGGATAACAGCGCCACCTACCGGGTCGAAATGTAAATTTAAACCATCCAGGGACCCACTCAAACGCACACAAAAAATTTCATCAAAATCGTTCGAGCCGTGTTCAAGTTTTAGCAAGTCTAACGGACAGCAAATGATTTTTATATTGAGAAATTGGAGAGGTGGAGAGAAGCGAATCCAAGCCCTATCATCGTGTTATTGAAGTTCCATTTTACTCTTAGGTATTGTTGATTATATATATTATAAATTAATAAACATAAAAAAATAAAAAATAAACTATGATATTCTCTTCAAAAAATCTCTCAAAACTACGGAAACGGATTGAATCAAACTACTTTTATTTATTTTATCGCATTTAATTTTACATAGTTTTTAAATCTTCACGTTTCAGGTGTTTTGCCACATCCATTGCCCCAGAGAAGCTAAGGTGCTACTCAATGAGCTAACTGCATCTTAAAGTCTTGCATTGCACAGTTAATTTTATTAATTAAAGGATTCCAAGCAGGTGGTAGTACCCAGCCTCTTTCTCTATTGAAATAAGTATTTTGGAACGAAATTCCTTATCGCACGTTACGAATTTGACGGATGGGGGTTAGGCGAGAGAAAGTGTAAGATTTTTCCGTCACACAATAATATCCATCTCCCTCGCACTTTTCTTATCTTGCCATAAAATAAATATTATTTTAAATGACGCTTAATTTTAATAGACGCTAATAATTCATTTATTTGTATTTGTTAATCAATAATATAATACGTTTATCAATAATAATATACCACCAAAGGAACATAATTCTAACCAAGTGTTCCACGACACCCACGCATGTTTTTTTAATGTATCAGCTTCAGCACACTTGTTAGCGGTCGATGTTCTTTCGCGAGCATTTGTGGTCTAGATTTGAATCATCATCAATCAAAGTCTAGGATATGATCACAGACTGCAGACTTCTCGGAGCGTTGGTGTTTTATGTTAACTAAATCTTGTGTTAGCCCTATATAAGTTAGACCACATTTACAATCGAGCATGTACATTCCTACGTCTTGTAGAGACATATCACTTGACGGATGATAAGAACTCAATAATCTTCTTTGGCGGCTTGTACAATGTTCTAATAGAAGCTCGCTTCCCGATGCAGCATATCTCCATTGTGAGTCCGCTGACATATTATAGTAGCACAGCAGGCGCACGTTTGACTGTGACCAGTTTCATTTGTTTAAATATCGGTTAGTATGGACCTTTAATCTATATACAATTTAACCTATGATTTTTTAGGATTTCGGATTACTAACAAATCTAGAAAAGCTAAAGAATTATTTTCCTCCAACTCCATAGTGAATTGAACTTTCAGGGTTTATTGATTGAAAATGTTCTATAAACGCAATTACTTTGTCTAGTGGTAAAATTGTGAAAGTATCGTCTACGTACCACGTGCAGAACATTGTATTTAAATCCACCGTTAGGCTTACTACTAACGTCACTTCCCAAGCATCCATGTCAGAAAATGTGAAATTTCTTCACGTCGGACAAAAAAGTAATTAACTATAGGTAAACCACACAACTGGCGGATCGCCCACGGGGCATGAAGTTGGTGGGGGCGGGTATCGATACACACGTAATAATTTTTGCAGAGATAAAGATAATATCAGATTTTGCAGATTTTGCAGAGATAGAGATAATTTCCTTCTTTGATAATTTTACTCACAGATGTTAAAGATATTCCTGTTGCTTGCGCTACCAGTTTATTCAAGTTTACATCTTGTTGATATTCCGTAGACGATTGATCTTGTTTTCTTAGTGTACACCAATTGTTTCGCTTGCTTGTTAATTTGCTTGGTAAAAATCTTAGAGCGTCCATCTTCAGCATTCATCTTGGGTTATAATCTCGTGTGCGTTTTGATCCGAGCGTCCGTAACCAATTAACCCACTGCCCACTGCGAAAGCCGCGAGCGCACTAAAAAATGTCACTCGAGCTCCCTGCCGCGCGCCCCCGCACTTCACCCCGAAACTCCCTAAAATCCCTCTGCGCCCACTAACTTCTTGCCCCGCGGGCGATCCGCCAGTTGTGTGGTTTACTTATAATAGTCGTATTTTTTATCCTTGACAATAAATCGCTCAATATTAATGCACAATACGAAGCAACATATGAGTTTGATGCTAGAACTACATAAAACTATCGTGAGCCACGTTTGCCGAAGTAAACGCCTCGGAGCCTATATTATATTTTAAATAGTGACGAGCTGTGTATAGCTTAGTGTTCCCAATTTTAAGGATTTCACTATTTTTTAAGGCGAAACCGCTTATTTAAAAAACGGCTTAGGACTATTTTATATTTTTAGAGATTTGGGGTATTTTGGGGTAAAATCAAACTTAAAGGTGGCAACACTATTTTAACATAAACGCCGTTCGTTTGTGGTCGGGGGTTCGCCGAAGTTCTTAACACATTATTATTGGAAAGTTGATTGATTTCTTTTGACAATGAGTGTCTCAGAATTTTGGCCTTATTGCAGTGACACGTATATACATAATTCACTTGTTTATAACTTTATATTCTCAATTCTTACTGAACCAAAACCTTGAAGTTGTGATTTCACTTCTGTCAGCAGTGGCGTATCTGTGGTGGAAATATTCAGTGAACTAAAAACCTTTAAATCCGACATAAGAAATAGGTTCTATAATGTAACCCTCAATGTTTTTTGCACACAAATCTCAGCTCCGAACGCTCGATTTTTAACCCTACAATGCTAAGATGAATACAGAATTATTACGTGGTAGAGCCATGCTGCAGCTATATTAGTAGTATAGTTGTAGCACGAATGGCTCGGCTCGACCGGGGAAGGACCACGCTGTCACAGAATACCAACGTAAAATAACAGCTTAATGCTGATGTGTATCTTATGGTGAGTCTAGAGAAGCGGCGACCATTTTTACTGGAAACGAGACATTCCATCTTAGTCCTCACGGGTGACAACGCGTTTTCATTTTGGTTCGTAATCGAGGATAGATGTAGATGCCCGTGGGCAGCAGCAACTGCTTACCATCAGGTGGACTGTGTACTCGTTGGTCGCCCTTATTCTAAAAAAAACTAAAAATTAAAATCTTAAAAGACTTCAACAGCTTCATACTGTTCACCTTCTACTACTTCACTTAATTAATTCCTAACTACCTAAGTAATAAACGGTTTGTGGCCGTAGAAAAATATGTTATTAAAATAAAAAGATAAAGTTTTTGTTTTATTTCTAACTCTTTAAATTTTTCGACCTAAATCAAGAGGTTGAAACGCTTATGAGGCGTGCACTTTTTGATTTTCCCAACTATTTGATATTTGCGTTGACAATTAAACTTATCAGCCGGCTCTGATTTTTAACATTTCAAAATAATAATAAAAAAACAGGTACAACTAAATTTAATTTAATAAATATAAAACTATTTTATATATAATATGAGTAGTTAATTATGTAGAGAATAGAAATTATTTGTTTAATATTTGCTGTATCTCAGCCAACGACTTTCCTTTAGTTTCCGGCACGAAGATAGCTGTGAAAAGACAAGCCAAAGCGCACATCCCGGAGAACATCCAAAAAGTAATATGGCTGCCTAAATCTGAGACCATATAACCGTAAACCGTTGCAACACCAAAACCAAACAGCCAAGCAACGGTGATACTAACCGTTGACCCTATACTTCTGACGTTAGATTGGTACATTTCTCCGATAAGTGTGCCAGGAATGATTCCAAAACCTAAAAAATAGACCAAAATTATTTAAAGGGGTAGTTATTACGTGTAGTCATTGATGTGTTGTTTAAATAAGTGTCGTGTATTGAAAACCGCCTTATTATAAGTACTCGCCAGAAACCGTGCTCATATATGACCGGGCCTACATTACAGACAGACCTATTCTTGAGAATAAGCCTGATATTTAGTTACCTGCCGTCTCTTGCTGCACCCACGGGAGGAAATGTGGTAGTGGATATTCTTACACTACCACGGCACACAGTACTCTATCTAACGGAGGGTCACCTCATTAGATGTAGTGACGACTTGACGAAACAGGCATGGATTCAGGTGGCTCAGGAACGTCCATTGTGGCAATGTATGTTCTATATTCTGCTATGGACTTGTGATTGGCTGCAGTAGTAATAGTTGTCTATAGTTGTATAAGTGTTTAGCCTACTATAATTATATTTTTCAAACAAAACAAATAAAATAAAACTGCGATATTATCTACTAAGAAACTTACCAAAATCATAAAAAAGGAAGTAAATGATCAGCGACACCAGCGGTAACCACTTTATCATAGAAATAGACGAATGGTCAATGAGGTCTAAATAAAAATAGACACCAAGAGTTGCCTGTGAAATAACAGAAAATTTAATTTTAATAATATAACTATGCCGTTCGTTTGCATTGCTCTGTTAATGTATTACGGGATTTTCCTAATTAGGTATTCTTCAATTTTCTCTCCTTTCATTATCACTGTTACTATTTTGTGTTTTTGAAAGCACTTAATTAGCAATTAATTATCAAATTAATTCTATACCTGATTTTGAATCTATTCTAATTTTCAGAAGACCTGATTTTTGTATCTGTTTTGTTCTGAATAACGACTTTATTTTTATTAGAGGTGCCTTGTCATTGCCTATACTTGCAGCAATTAATTAGCACTTAATTCCTTGCTGTTAATATTTATCGTATATCTATTATCGTCACTTGCAAGCGATACTTTTTGCCAGCAACGCAAATTTCAACAGGTCGTTGCGGTGAAAATTTTTGAACACCTAATTTTTAAACTTGGCACTTAATTAGCACCTAAAAGGCCCCCAATTTTTACTTTTCCTAAATGCAAAATCCTGACTTTGCGTTGCTGGCGAGACAGAGCTTTCCGATAGATGTCGATTTTTTTAAATATAATTAGGGTGAAAACAGATATAAAATACTCATACCATGTCACCAGACGATAAGGTTTATATTTAAACATAATATATTCAAATCCAAGGTTAATCGGGATCGCAAATTTATTACGTATATATACGTATTTCTTAATAAGGAAGCTAGAGTGTTCAGAAATAACCTTCTACTGGACCAATACATGCTAAGAATTTATGTCCAGTAATTTCTTCTGGTCTCTCCTCCTCTCCTTTCGCATGGGCTTTATTGATCGCAAAAGAATTCGTTTAAGAAAACTTCGCCTTTAGCCTACGGCGAATGTTCATTGCTACGTCACTTGTGACTTGCTATATCTCTGCGTACAACGCTATTTTCTGTCACGACAACAAAATAAACGAAAACAAAATGGCGACGTGGTCGCTTTAGATTTCATTGGTTTCAAATAATTATTTATTTTTAATTACCCAAGCTAGTTAACTTAATATTCAATTCTAAAATATCATCGTAACTCCAAGCTATAGACTAGTAGATTGGAGTTACGACGACATTCAACACAGAATATACCAGCTGAAATGTGTCAGCGTAATCGAAGTAAAATGCGATAAAGTCCTTTGATCTGTGAAAGTTTTCCGATCCCATTTTCCGCGGTAATTTTAGATACGACTTAAGGACCTTTAAGAAACGAGTTCACTCGTTTTTGACAGCATCGCACCTGCAAGTCCCCTGGTGTTGCAGGGGTGTCACTTCCACTATGGAAGGTATGGAGCACTCCATACCTCAAGTTTTTCAAGGTATGGAATTCCATAGCTGAAATTAGGAAATAAATCGCATATTACTACAAACCCCATATAAATAAATCGCAAGCCCTTAAACCTCAATACCCCACATCTTATAGTTCAATAAATAAGTTGAGTATATACACTGCAAACTCTTAAACCTTAATACCCCACGAGTAATGCGAACAAATTTGAAAATCGCGCCACCATTTTCCATACCTCAGATTTTTACAAAGTGACACGCCTGTGGTGTTGTAGTTGTTTATGGGCAGTGGTTGATATTTACTTAATAACAGGTGAGCCACATGCTTTTATTTGTACCCTCTTCTATAAAAAAAAGGGTTTAACAATAGCGGAACAAAGTGCTACTGCCCAAACTCGAACATTTGCGTTATTGTGATGTGTCCAGACATTAACATCGAACTCCGCACACTATGCATTTTTATTGCATTTCTATTCTATTCTTTTTTTTGACTTTCAAGTGTTTCGCAGCAATTAAAAATTAAATTAAAAAATATAACTTACCATGCTTAAACCAGCAATAGTGGTTGAACATAATAATAATATTCTTCTTCCCATTCTTTCCACAAAGAAGGACGACAGCATACTAGCGACAAATTGAGTGACACCAATAATTATTGTAGCTACATTTGGTTCTATTGAAGAGCCAGCCGTTTCGAAGATAGTGGTTGCAAAGAAGATGACTACGATAATGCCACTGGTTTGTTGAAAAATACTTAAACTTAATGTAATGAATAACGCTTTTCTGTTACTTTTCACCGTTATCATTTGCTTCCATTCTTCAACTACACTTAGTTTTTCTGTATTGTATTTCACAGCGAGGATTTCGTCAAGTTCATCCAATCTTCCTAATTTATCCATCGCTCCTTGTGCAGATTTTGTTCTTTCTAAAATTAATGATCGTATGGATTAAAAAAACCATTTAGTTTACTGATTTCTTTTATCAATATTATACAATTAGTTCACTATTAAAATATCATCAATATGTAATAAACTTAAAGCGAGGTGTAGCAATTTTTAAAGATTTTAAACCCCTGTAAATCTACTGAATTGTAATTATTGCGCAAAAATAACATTGTATAGAAATTGAACACACAGTCAATGCTGCAAAAGCGATTCAAAATAAATGGCTCGATTAAAAAAACAAAGATGACAAACTACATCAACAAAAAACATGCGTGATTTTCGTGGAACACTTGGTTGGAACAAGGTTCCTTTCATAGTATATTATTATTGATAAACGTATTATATTATTGATTAACAAATATAAATAAATTAATTATTAGCGTCTATTAAAATGAAGCGTCATTTAAAATAAAATACACTATGACACAAGGGGTAGTGACGAAAAATTCTTACACTTGTCGCTTAGCTCCTATCCGCCAAACCCGTAACGTCCGATAAGGAACTTCGTTCCAAAACTAAATCGCTTTTTAAACGTGTATCTTGCAGAGCTTCCCTGAGGAAACCGTGTAAAAGTTTTATCAAAGGAAAAGACATAAGTTTCAACTTTTGGATCATGTTGAGAAAACATTTTATAAAGTAAGTTTTTTTTTATTTTTATGTAAAAAATAAACAAAATCGAACAGTTTAAGCGTTCGCACCCGACTCGGCCAGTGCTCGCTGAAACATTTTCGAAATGCGACGCACGTTGTTTCTTTTAAAAATCTCCCCGCTTTAGCGCTTTTCGCTCGATAATTGCTGGGAGTGAGATAACGTTTACATACCTAAACGCCGTAAAACAAGACTGCCTTAAACGAACTTGTTAGGTTTTTATTACTTTTATTTTGATATAATGAACTGGTTACATTTCACACAACTAACTACAACACTTAACCATAGAGATATATTTCTGCCACGTGATTGGCCTGGGAATTTCGTCAAACGCCGCTATTTCATGATGCCAATGACTCCATAGCACTTTGTTCCTATTTTATAGAATAAACGCGGCTTTGGTGTCGCTCAGGGGCCTTTAATATAGCTATCTAGTTAGTGGTAACCAGATATAAATAGGTGCTTTCGTATTTTTAATATATTTACAGAATTCAAAGATATAAATTATCGTCCAAATCACGAAATAGCGACATATCATGAAATTTCCAGATTACAATCTGTCCAATTCTAAAGATCAGCCTATAACATCTGCATTATAATGATCATAAGAATTTTCATTTGTTTTTGTTCAAATTTTGAATAAAATAATTACGACCTAAATATATATCAAGCAATATTCACCTTTTAAAATGTAATAAGTCGGTGATTCAGGGATGAATAAAATTCCCAATATGTACAATGCTGTAACACCTACTGCTATGTAAGAGACAACAGGATAAGAGACGTAAGGTCCAACTGCATATACAAATAGTGTACCAAGTGTAGTAAATATGTTGGTGCTGGTTAACAATATACCTCTTATATTTGTTGATCTGAAAAAGAAAAACATATTTATATAAAAGTTAACAAAAAATTTAATGCACCGTGTAGCGATGTAAGAGAATTCACTACCCCATATCATCCGGAGAGAGCCGTAAATGCGAAAGAGGAAGATAGGAGCTGCTTCTTGATAATACCTCAAAATAATTTTAAAAAAATCTGTAATTGCCAACCTACCTGCCAAGATTGGTAACTTTGGCGAGAGATCCCCACATGGAGCAATCTAAGGCCAAGATCTATCTTAAGCAGCGGACTTTGATAGGCCGTAACTAATAACTATAGAAGCAATGAAAACAAATGAGAATTAATGGATTAATGAAAATAAAAAAATGGTAGCTCAGGGTCACGTACGTACAATTCGGGAACAATCCCTGCTGTCACCAATGAAATTATCAATTTCAAATGATGGTTTACAACGTGCTCGGCGATGAAGGATAACATCGTTACGAAATATGCATGTTTGTGGAGTAAAAACATTGTAAAGACAGATAAGAAGACAGAAACAAGAAGAGCGGCTTGTTGGGCTAATTGATTCGTTTCATAAATGAAATAAGAAGGAAGATATTATACATCGTTGTATACATAATTTACTTTTAAACGCAAAATAAAGAAGATTGGTCATCATAATTATTTTTCATTTAGATACATGAATAATGTTAGGTCTTTACCGATGAAATTGCCGTTTTCTATGAAATAAGTTAATTTTTTCTATATTTTTTATTTCTATTTATCAAATAAATCATCTGCGATGCAATCATTGCATCTTTGCCAACGCAGTGGCAGTTTATTGATGCCTATATTGAAGAAATCAGCTGGACGGGAGGAAACAAACTCTTCAAAGGCATTTTGTACTGCCTCTCGGGTATTGATTTTTTTCCCTCCAAAAAGTTATCCAAATTCTAGAAAAAGTAGAACTACGTAGGCTCAAGGTCTGGTGAGTACGGTGGATGTCAGAGAGCTTCCAACCCCAGATCTTGTAATTTAGAAACCGTATGTTGTGCAGAATGGGGTCACACGTTATCGTGCAGGGGCAGCGGGGACGAGCGATTGGCCAAAGCTGATTGGAGACATGCGAGCTTCTCCATCATTGTGTTCAGTTCTTCACAGTACATATCTGCACTAATGCTCAACCCGTTTGGTAAGAAGCTGTGATGAATCACATCGGCGCTAGACCACCAAATAGTGACAATCACTTTTCTAGGGGCAAGTTTTTGTTTAGGGTATTGTTTAGTTGTTGAACCAGGATCCAACCAACTCGCTGATCACGTGAGATTGTCAAACAGAATCCATTTTTCGTTGCAGGTGTTGTGCAGTGTTGCGAATGCGGTTCAAAATTTCTTCGTTTGTTTTTTTCATAGGATTGACGCGTACTTCGCGCTGGCGATCATTGTCTTCGTTGGGCACCCATTTGTTAAGCTTTTTACCTTGCCAGTTTGACTCAAATGGACCAATATTGTTTTGATGCTAAAGTCGAAAGCTGCTACCGATTCAGCCGTAGATTAAGTATCATCAGATTCAACAAACGCCTTTAATTCGTCATTATCCACCAAAGTTTTCGGACGAACACGGGGTTCAAATGTTCCAGAACGCAAGCGAGCAAACCCATAACAGGTGATGCATTAGTTTGTAGTATTCGCTCCGTAAACGTTGATGACGTTGCGTGCCGTTTGTGTCTTAGTCGTGTTGTGTATCATAGTTGTGTCGTAGTGCCTGAGTGACCCGTGATATCGAAAAAGATTCAAATGTGATGAAAACAACGCTAATCAATAAAACAATGACTAATTAAAAAAATGCCATCCTTTTAAACTAAAGGTAATTTGAAGTTAGAATTCTTATCCAAACAAAAATGATTTTGATTTGAAATGGCAAGTACTGCAGAACGGCAATTTCATAGGTAAAGACACAAGCTGTTGATATCAAACTAACCTTATTTTCACATTGAAATTATATTAAAATATACATAAAAAAATACTTACGCAATCTCACCGATGTATACGAGATTTACAACGTAAATCATTCCTGTTCCCAATCCACAAATTACTCTGCCAGTAAAAATCATCGCCAGATTATTTGCATTAGCCAAAAGAAGAAAAGATAAAAGTGTTAGCAAACCTGCTACGAAAAAGCTTGGCTTGCGGCCGATCGCATTAGACAGATATCCGGTTATGTAAGGACCTGGAAATTTAAGTAAATATATACATTTTTTTTTCAAACGTGTTTATAAAATAGCTAACTTCAATTATAATGAGAAAGACGTGTAAATAAAGCCCGGCATCCACAGGCGGGATAGAACGATAAAGGTTCCTTCGGCATCCCTACATTCAAGCGCATACTGACAACTGTACCGCGGTATCCTGAAGCATGCCTTAGCATACCATCGTAACATCGTGCTCACATAGATCTATCAGTTTTCAGAATAGATAACGATAAGGTAACAAGCTAATAAGCTACTTGTATAAAGGTATTTAAAATAGTGGATTGGAACATAATGTTCATAGCATCAATTGTGTAGCAAAAGAAGAGAAATATATTCAACAAAAAGTCGGATTTTGGGAGAATAACCTTTGAAAGCAAAAATTCAAAAGGTTTTACCTGTGTTAGTATACAGATGGCTATCTAGGTATTGTGGAGGCTGCCGACATTAGATTATCCATTAGCTTATAGCCGCAATGTTTCTTTAACCACGACCATTATCATTCAAATTTCAATAATGATGACACAATATTAAGTTATATTACTATTCTTTATCTTAAAATCCCTTTCTGTGTCGATCATTTCTTTTCAAATTTATTCCAAATTCCTTTTTAGTAAAATGCACAACAATATTAATTATGAAATTTTCCATATTGTTTGTGCTTTTACCCAGGAGGCTTTGATATGAATATAAAGTTGTGCGAGACATACAATCTTATTAGGTTTACTTAAGACATTGTGGCCCGCGGTTTCGAATTCCGCGCGGAACTACTATTTGTCTATACAAATAGTAGTTTCGCGCTAAATGTGCTTTCACATGTGCAATTTTTAAGTATAACCGTTTTCATCCTAGTAGAGAAATTCTCAGTGTGGAGCAAAGTTTTTAAAATAATCATAAATTTTCAGTTTGACTGTACTCAAACTATAGCCACAAGTCTATGATATGTCTGCCTGTATTCATGTATTTAAAAACTTAAAAAAAGATATACGTAAGCTTTAAATGCACGAGAATCTTAAAGACAACCCATAGCTAGCTTATATGAAACTTGTTTTCTCACACAATGCTATCTACCCAAGCAAGAGTACTTAGATCAGTCTGCCTTGTCTGACGGTCGCTTTGGACTATGTCCGATAGTTCTCTGCGTGATAAAATTCGTAAGGAGGATATACGCAGTAACAGACATAGCACAACGAATCAGTAAACAGACGTGGCAACTGGCCAGCCAAATGGTTGCAAATATATGTGTATAGTATCGTACCGGCAAACGGAGTATAGGACGGCGTCCCACTAGATGGCTTTACGACAGCGAAGTCAAAGAATGCACATGGCATATGTACGTACCGTGCTTTGTGGCATTACTTAGGGTAGGCCTACGTCCAGCTGTGGACTTGTGAAAGGCCATAAATATGATGATTATGATATTAGAATTGACAAATCGATTTGTTATTTAAACTCACCTATAATTAGTCCAACATAAGTGATAGATCCAACAAGTGAGGTCTCTGTTTCTGATATTGACGATGAAAGTGGAGACTGCTTTGGATCCTGGAGCTTGGGTATTATAGGTGCTGACCATCCCATAGAATAGCCGGCTAAGGACTGCCCTATGTATACTGGAAAACAATTTAAATTACACTGAGATTATTAACAACAATAACAATAGATAAACATTGAAGAAATTTTAAAATATGATGTATATTTGTTTTCACCTTAGAACTAAGGTCAATAAGAAGTCTTGAATCCTTTTTTTTTTTCAAAGTCTACATATTTATATTCACAGAATTTACTAAGCCTTACCCTAATAGTAATTTTGGATTGGCATTATAAATTAATGTTAAATTTCTTGCAATTTTCGTGCATTGGAATAGAATGGAACAAAATGGAACCGTATGGAACCGAATAGATAAAATAAAATGGAATTTAAAGGAATGAAACGGAATTAAACTGAATGGAATGGAATAGAACAGAACGGAATGAAATGGAACGTAACGCAATTGAATGAATGGAATGTATCGGAATGGATCGTAATGAATCGAAATAGAATGGTTGGAATAGAATTGATAAATCGGAATGGAATGATATTTCAAGAACGGAACGGATTGGACCGATATTGAATGGAATGGAATGTAATTTATTGGAATGGATTGGAAGGGATTGGAATAGAACGGAATTTAATGAAATGGATTGGAATTGGATTGATTGGAAAGAAATTATATTTAACGGAACGAAATAGAACAGAACGTAATTAAACAAAATAGAACGGAACGGAATGTAACAGACTCGTACGGGATTGAATGAAACGATAAGGAATGGAACGGAAACGAACGGGGTGGGAATGGAATCTAAGGAATTGGAATAAGATGAAAAGGAATGGAATGAAACGGAATGTAACAGAATTGTATGAAATGAAATGGAACGGAGTGGGACGGTGTGGAATCGAATGGAACGAAATATAAGGGAATTCATGAGAAAGATCGATATGGAATACAATAGAACGACGCAGATTGGAATGAAACAGAACGGAATGGATCGGATTGGAATGAAATAGAATGGAATTGTATGGGATTGAATAACATGGAATAAAATGGAATGGAACGGAATGGAATTGAATAGAGCGAATTAAAATGCAATGCAATGGAATGGAATTAAGTAGAGCAAAATAAAACGGAACGGAACGAAATCGAATGGAATGAAACATACTTAAACGGAGAGGAACGGAAATTAATTAAAGGGAGTGGAATGAAATAGACCGGAATGGTATGGAATTGAAAAAAATGTCATGAAATCGGCCGAAACTGAACGGAACGAATTTGAAGGGATTTCATGAGCAAGGTCGATATGGAATAGAATAGAACGCCACAGATTGGAATGGAACAGAACGGAATGGATCGGATTGGAATGAAATAGAATGGAATTGCATGGTATTGAATAACATGGAATAGAACGGAATGGAATTGAATAGAGCAAAATGAAATGGAATACAACGGAATGGATTTAAATAGAGCAAAATAAAATGGAACGGAACGAAATCGAATAGAATGAAACAGACTGAAACGGAGAGGAACGGAAATTAATTAAAGGGAATGGAATGAAATAGAGCGGAATGGTTTGGAATTGAAGAAAATGGTATGAAATAGGCCGAAACTGAACGTAACGAAATTGAAGGGAATTTAATGGAACTGAACGGAACGAATTGAAGGTTATATAATGGAAAGGGATAGAATCGAGTAGAAGAAAATTTAAATGAAATATTTAATAAAATATTTGTATTAAATATAGATTCAGAAAGTCATTCTTTACTTTACTGGTTCGGAAAAACATCTCTGTTCTGAGAAGAACCATTAAGAAGAGACGGTAATAATTATCCACAGTAACATTATACAATATAAAATAGGTTGTACAATTGTTTTCACCACTCATATACTATAAGAAACAGCTTTGAAGCGATGACCTCATTCCCAGTGGTTAATATCAACCATGTAATCATTAATGTTGTAACCATTTTTATAAAATCTTTGTTTATTAAAAAAAATTACTTTGTAATTGAGAGACCAAGGTCTCTTAAGCTGACTATGGAGCACACTTCTTTGGATATCTTAGAATATGTTTTTACATAATTCCTTAATTAAACACTATGATTGTATGATCTGTACGCGTATTTTTGTGTGTGTTTGAATAGGTCCTTAGATAGTTAAGATTCACATTTGGGCTCGTTAGGCGGCGCGAGATCCCGAAATCGCCCGTACGAAGCCGGGCTGGATTCCTAGTTCATTATAAAGCTCATACAACCTTCGTCTACTTTTATTAATACCTACGTCACCCATTCATTAAATGATTCGCGAACAAATTTTAAGAAGTAAATGTTATTATTTTTTGGAAGTGAAGGAAGTATTTTTAATTTATTACTTCTAAACTTCTCCAAACGATGTTCGTTTATTGAAACAAGCAGAACTTTCTTATATTTCTATTTTTTGAGTAAGTATAAGGCAATGAAGTCTTTGTCGACTAACTGTCCTCAGTGATTCGAACTTACGTTTTTAAAGATTAATTTATGCAAGAATAAATTGTGGTATTTGTGGTAAGAATAAATTAATAAGGGTGTATGATTTAAACAATGACCTATATTTAACTAATACTACTAATTTTACTAATTCGAAAAAGTTTCTAGGATATTGATATCAAAGTCTCCACATATTACAACAGGCTAGTTCTATTTTCTACGTTTGAGCAAATGTTCCTCCACAATGTTTTCAAAATAGCCGTAAGTACTAACTGGAGTTGCTCAAGCTTGACACGAGCCATTTCTACAGTTCGCTCAACAGAGAGGCTCAAAATATCCTTACGTTCTTTAAATAATAATGATTTATCTGCTAATATTAAGGAGCCACTACGTAAACAAAGTTCTTTTGAAGGAACGTGGTCAGTTCCTTCAACAGAAAAGGTTCTTCTGTTGAAGGAACTGACCACCTCATGATTACTGAAATTATAATATTTTAGTCAATCTTCAGTAACACAAAGGATAACATACGTATTTACTACTATTATTTAAAAACAATGCAATTATAACAAATCAAATTAAATTAACCTTTTAATCAATATGGATTTTAAATAATATTTATTAATCGTCATAATACTGAAATTTTCACTTACAAGGTACCACTATCCATAGTTGCCTTTTTAGATAACCTTCCATGTTTATGATTATCTGTTTCTTTGTTATGTCTGGTTACACGAGCCTACTTTTGAAATTATATTGTTTAAATTTAATTCACTAATTTTATTTCAAAACTTGAATAGAAGCTACAGAATCTGATAAACTGTGCACACGGTAATAAACATAAGTTACATTTTTTAAGAATAAAAAACTTTTAACTTTAAACATTTATTTTAAATTTCAAAAATTTTACTAAATCATCATCACTTGTTTAATTAAAGATTTTTTCCATGTGAAGCATTATCAAGTGTGATTATTCTTTTATAATATAAGTTCTTATCAAAAGTCACACGTGATTATGATATTATACTTGTTTTAGATTTTAATCTAACTAATCATAAAACGTCTTTTTAGCGGAAGTTATAAAAATGTTTATAATTTCTTGGGTTAATTTTGTTATACCAAACGGTAACATTTAATAAAAAGTACAATCAGACTTTAAAGAACTTAATTCTTCTATAAACTATATATTACGACTTCAGGATGTGAAATTATTAAATATTTTCAATTCTTGTAATTCGGATTTTACTATTTATTAAAATTAAATTTTGTTTCACTGTCTGTTCTATAAGCGGTCATTATACAATCAAAGGCTTTTGAGAGGTCGAGAAAAGACACTCCTACCGGCGTCCTTCTTTTCATATAATAGTTAAAAACTTCAAGGTCAGAATAGCTTATTTATTAGTAAAATGTATGTATTATGTAGTTAATTATCATTTTGTGTAGTGTTATTTTATTCTATTTTACCGCACCTACATCAAATTCTCACCACTCCATGGGTTGACTGGTAGAGAATGCCTCAAGGCATTAAGTCGGCCCTTTGTATTCTTTTGTTTTAAGGAATGCAATAAAGATTAAATAATAATAATAATAGCACTCTTGGCGGACAATCAAGCTGTAAACTCAAACTGGGCACCGTATAAATTCACATGCTTTTCGAGATATAGGCCGATAATTATTATCAGAAATGTCACCTGTTTTATTTTTAATGATCGCTACTACAATAATACGCATTAAATGCTCAGGTAATTAAGAGTAGGAGCACTGCAGTGTACTTAAAATGCGCGATGCTGGGATCATCGTGACCTTGCGATTTAATTGATCATCTGCATATTTTTAATAACTAGATGCATCCTTTACTGTGAAAAAAACCTTACGTTCAGTCACTATGGTCGCACCATCATTTACCTCACAACAAAAACTGGATCCAAGGGCGACTGCATACTAAAATGCTCGCTGAATAAATAAGCAATCATTTTCTGATCGTGGACGCCGCCAACAGTTACAGGAAGCTTTTACGTTTAATTTATTGGTGCTCTATCAGAAATTTTTGGAATTTTTAGCCGTATGATTTGAGGCAAGTAAATCCGTTTGTGATAGGTCTTGCCTGTTTTGGCACCATTTTAACTTGGATTTAAAATATGTAAGCGTTTCTAACATTTCATTAAAGATATTGCCGGTTTTGAATTTACCCGCCATTAACCACATTTTAAATTTTAGACTAGGATTTCCTGTGCACGCCAGCAACGTATGTATCTTTTCTACGCAGTGACATAAACTTTCTGTCTGGTACATTTTCTGCCAAACAGATTCCAACATAAGAAGAAGAAAATCGCTTTTAGGTTTGTCTAATATTAAATAATAACTTTTATTGTTACGTACGTTTTGTTATTCTTTCCACGATTGGTTATTTACCGTTTCATCAAACTGCAATCGTTTCGCATTAGAGAAAAAGTACAGGCTGGACTGTTGTTCCTGATGAATTTAGGGTTATAATAATAAAGTAAGTATAGGTAATAAGCGACCATTGTTTTCTAAGCACCGCTAGTTGTCCTACGTTTAAATATTTTTATGTGGTAGAGCAATGCTGCAGCTATATTAGTAGTATAGTTATAGCACGAATGGGTTGGCTCGACCGGGGAAAGAATACACTCTCATAGAATACCAGCGTAAAATAGCAGTATAACGCTGCTGTGTTTCGTATGGTGAGTATAGAGAACCGGAGACCCTTTTTTACTGGAACGAGGCATTCCGTCTTAGTGCTCACGGGTGATAACGCATCTGCATTTTTGATTCGTAATCGAGGATAGATGTAGATGTGTATAGACCACAGCAACCACTTACTATCAGGTGGACTGTGTGCTCGGTTGTCACCCTTTTTTTTATAGGATAGGGTGACAAACGAGCACACAGTCCACCTGATGGTAAGTGGTTGCTGCGGCCCATAGACATCTGCATTTATCCTCAAAAAAGAATCAAAATTCAGATGCGTCGTCACCCGTGAGGACTAAAATGGAATGCCTCTTTTCCAGTAAAATGGGTCTCCGGTTCTCTACACTCACCATACGAAACAAAGCAGTGTCAATCTGCTATTTTACGCTGGTATTCTGTGAGGGCGTGATCCTTCTCCGGTCGAGCCGACCCATTCGTGCTACAACTATACTACTAATATAGCTGCAGCACGGCTCTACCACGTTAAAACCCTTATTTATAAAAAAAAAAACGTGAAAAATCACAGCATTGGTCTAACAAGCGGAAATTCGATATCCGTTAGTTTAGAAAGGCACAATACATGATATTTATTTATATAATCCAACTGTCATAATACACATTTGTACTCACCTATTGCTACATTCATTTCAACTTTCTGATTTAATTTGTACAGGTCACTTTCAATGATGAGCGGAGAGTAGTCCGACCAATATACGCCATGTTTCACATACCCTTTATTGATTGTTATAAGTGTAAATTGAATGCACAGTGCACACCCATGTGCACTATGAAACATTATGTGTTGAACTTAAGGCCTAAGATATCAACGATCATTACAGAAATTAATTAATTTATACAAATAAATAAAGTTGAAGTGTCTGTTTGTAATATTAAAATTATAGCTTTTTACTAATTGCATATGAAATATACGGTACTTATAACAAAAATAGAAAGAATTTTTTTTTAAATTTTGTTTAATGTCTGTGTGCCTATTTGTTCCTCCGAAATATAAGGAGTAGATTAGGCTACTTTTATTTTTGAAAAGAATAAGTGTTCCGTGTAAAAAAAAACCATGAAATCGAATCGTCATAAATTCCATTGCAAGTCGTGGGGAATAGCTAGTTCATTATAAAATGATAACCTTTGGATGCGCGTTAAAGTCTCCCATAAATACAACGCCTTAACGCGAGAATTCTCGTCCATTCCAATAATAAATTTTATTAAACTAAGACATTCTCTATATACTCAGGTTTTCAATATTGTTATCAGATATATATAAGATAAAGAAATCACCCGTGTGAAGCCGGGGCGGACCGCTAGTAATGTATAAAATGCTTATCTGTATGAACTTTTACCGACGTACCAGTGAGTATATGTACTGTGGATATATATTTTTTTTAAACATTACCTCCACACTAGGATTTTCTCCTGTATCGTGGGGGCAGTTTACATACATAAATTTCACAAGAACAAACATCCAGACCCGGGACAATTATTTGTAGGCCATACAAATACTTGTTCCGTGCGGGATTCGAGCCCGAGGCCCTTGGTGCTGCAACTTATTGCTAAGCCACTGCGCCATGGAGCTGTCAAATATATTATATATATTATATGATACGTTATATATTATATAA